TGCGAATTAGAAACGAATGAATTCAAACCGGACAAACTAAAACCAAATGAAGTTAAAACGGACGGATGAAAACCAGATGAGTTTAAATTGGGTGAAGTAAAACCGGATGAATTTAAATTGGGCAAATGAAAACGGGATGACTTTAAACGGGCAAATGAAAACCGGATGAAGTTGAGTCGTATATGCTAAACGTGTATGTGTTCTGAAGGGAGTTGGACGACAGTACGGTTTGGGGGCCAGGGGAGAGACCAAAATAGAGGCGATGGATCGGGCGTCCCGGGGCGGCACCGTCGCTACATTTGGACTCCGTGAGGCTAGAAATAGACGATTTGGGCGTCGTGGGGGTTTCCTGAGAGGCCTCTTGGAGGCGTCTTGGGGTGTCTTGGCGGCTTCTTGGGCGAAGGTGTGGCCGATGAGTCGAAACGGTGGAAGCGACAGCTGAAGGGCGGGGCGTGCGGGAAAAAGTTCCCTTGGCAGGACCACATCAGCGACCGGCAAGAGAGTGATCACTTCACGAAGAAGAGCAAAGTTGTTTGCGCGGATTGCGTGGGCCTCGGGTTCACGGCACGGAATTGGCAAGCGTGCGAGTGCTTCGGCGCCTGCAAGAGGAAACTCCCAAAATCTCAGTTCGCGGTTGGATCGCACTTCGCGCGTTCCCACCATAACCGCACGTTGATGTGCAAGGCCTGCGCGTGAGACCCGTGGCAGCGTTCGTGACAGCGCGCGAATGCTTGGGGCCGGCACGGGGGAACTGGGAAAGAGAGGGGTGATACAAAGGGAGATGGAGTGGGAGAAAGAGGAGGAGGAGGAGGAGGAGGAGGAGGAGGAGGAGGAGGAGGAGGAGGAGGAGGAGGAGGAGGAGGAGGAGGAGGAGGAGGTAGGGAGTTGGACGATGGTTCGGCTGGGGGCCAGGGGAGGGACATGAGTCGTATATGCTAAACGTGTATGTGTTCTGAATGGAGTTGGACGACGTTGCGGTTTGGGGACCAGGGGAGGAATACGAAAATAGAGGCGATGGATCGGGCGTCCCGGGGCGGCACCGTCGCTATAGGTGGAATCCGTGCATTATCGAAGACGCCTACGGCGAATCACCGCCGCCCCCTGCCTTTTTGGAAACGCCGATGTGGCCGAAAGTTGGACTAGAGCTTGGCCAAGCTATCGGACCATGAGTTCCCCGAGTCGGTTTGGAAAGCTTTCGGGGAACACATGGGAGAGAATGATTATGAACAGGAAGAGGAAGAGGAAGAAATAGAGTAGGAGGATGAGGGTTGTTAGGAGTCTCTTGGGGCACCCTTGGGGTCTGTTGGGGCTTCTTGGGGGCCTCTTCGAGGCCTCTTGGAGGCATCTTGGGGGCCTCCTTGGGCCTCTTGGGGGCCTTTGGGGGCTTCCTGGGGGTCTCTTTGGCCGTCTTAGGGCGTTCCTGGTCCGTCTGACGCCGTCTGGAGCCGTCTTGGGGGCCTCTCTGGGCCGTCTTGGGGCCCTCTTGGGGCGTTTCAGGGCCGTCTTGGAGGCCATGTTGGGCGTCTTGGAGGCCTCTTGGGCCGTCTTGGGGCGCTCTTGGGGCCGTCTTGGGGGGCCCTTGGGCCGTCATAGGGCCTTCTTGGAGGCCTCTTGGGCGATCTTGGGGGCCTCTTGGGCCGTCGGAAGGCCGAAAAGAAGAAAACGCAAAAAACCTTCAAAAACCTAAGGAAAACCAATGATTTTGGCCTCTTCGGGCTCTCCTGGAGAACGTCTTGGAGGCCTCTTGGGCCATCTTGGAGGCATCTTGGGGCCATTTTGGCCGTCTTGGAGGGCATCTTGGGCCGTTTGGAGGCATCTTGGAACCATCTTACCCGTCTTGGAGGCCATCTTGGCCGTTGGAGGCATCTTGGAGGCCATCTTGGGCCATCTTGGCCGTCTTGGAGGCCATCTTGGGCCAAGTTGGGGCAACAAAGGCATTGACAGACGGATTTTCGGAAACTTGCGGGTGGCCGGCGGGACGGGCCGAAGCCCACTGGGGAGTTCTTTTAGAAAAAGAACCAAAACCAAAACCTGAATCATCCAGCACGCCGTGCACCCCTGTGGCAAGACCACAGGGGGCGGCGGATCTAGCTGCCTTCGGCCCATCCCGCCACCGCGCTTGGGTTGTGGGTAAGAAGCGTGCGGGATGTCCGTGGGGATCTCGTGGGGATGCTTCACGCGGGCTCCCTGGAGGCAGTTTGGAAGGCTGTTGAGGGCCGTTTTGAGGTCTCTTTGGGTCCTCTTTGGGGCCTCCAGGCGGTTTTGGGTGCCGGTTGGCGGCATTTGGGCACTTATTGGGGGGCATCAATGGGGTTTCTGGGAGCCTCTTCGGGCGGACAGTTGGAATTATGGGTTCGAGGTCCCCCTCTTGGACCCCGTTTCGAACCGTTTTGGGGGACTCTTGTGCCGTCTTGGGGGCATTTTGGGCAGTCTCGGAACCCTTGCGGGCTGTCTTGGAGGGAGGCTCCTTGGGAGCCTCTTGGGCCGTCGTGGGGCGGTCTTGGGGGGACTCTTGGACTGTCGTCAACCTCCTGGAGGCGTCTTGGGGTGTCTTGGCGGCTTCGTGGGCGAAAGGTGTGGCCGATGAGTCGAAACGGTGGAAGCGACAGCTGAGGGGCGGGGCGTGCGAGAAAGAGTTCCCTCGGCAGGACCACATCAGCGACCGGCAAGAGAGTGTTCACTTCACGAGGAAGAGCAAAGTTGTTTGCGCGGATTGCGTGGGCCTCGGGTCACGGCGCGGAATTGGTAAGCGTACGAGTGCTTCGGCGCCTGCAAGAGGAAATTCCCAAAATCTCACTTCGCGGTTGGACCGCACTTCGCGCGTCCCCACCGTAACCGCACGTTGATGTGCAAGGCCTGCGCGTGAGACCCGCGGCAGCGTTCGTGACAGCGCGCGAATGCTTGGGGCCGGCACGGGGGAGGGGGGGGGAACTGGGAAAGAGAGAGGTGGTACAAAGGGAGATGGAGTGGGAGAAAGATGAGGAGGAGGAGGAGGAGGAGGAGGAGGAGGAGGAGGAGGAGGAGGTAGGGAGTTGGACGATGGTTCGGTCTGGGGGCCAGGGGAGGGACATGAGTCGTATATGCTAAACGTGTATGCGTTCTGAAGGGAGTTGGGCGACAGTACGGTTTGGGGGCCAGGGGAGAAATACGGAAATAGAGGCGATGGATCGGGCGTCCCGGGGCGGCACCGTCGCTATAGCTGGAATCCGTGCATTATCTAGCTGCCTTCGGCCCATCCCGCCACCGCGCTTGGGTTGTGGGTAAGAAGCGTGTGGGATGTCCGTGGGGATCTCGTGGGGACGCATCTCGCGAACTCCTTGGAGGCAGTTTGGAAGGCTGTTGAGGGCCGTTTTGGGGTCTCTCTGGATCCTCTTTGGGGCCTCCTGGGGTTTTTTGGGCGCCTATTGGGAGCCTTTGGGGATTTATTGGGGGGCATCAATGGGGTTCCTGGGAGCCTCTTCGGGCGGACAGTTGGAATTATGGGTTCGAGGTTCCCCTCTTGTGCCCCGTTTCGAACCGTTTTTGGGCACTCTTGTGCCGTCATGGGGGCATTTGGGGCAGTCTCGGAACCCTTGCGGGCTGTCTTGGAGGCCCCTTGGGAGCCTCTTGGGCCGTCGTGGTGCGGTTTTGGGGGACTCTTGGATTGTCGTCAACGCCGTGAAGGCCGAAACGTCGCATATGTTGAAGATGTACGTTTTCCCGATGGGAATTGACGATTTGGGCGCCGTGGGGGCTTCCTAAGAGGCCTCCTGGAGGTGTCTTGGGGTGTCTTGGCGGCTTCTTGGGCCGTCCTGGGCCCATCTTGGGCGTGTTGGAGCGATCATTCGAAGACTTTGTGCTCTCTTGGGCCGTTTTGGGGGTGTCTTTGGGGCCTCGACGGGCTGTTTTGGAGCTACAGAAGAGCCTAGGGAGCCCGGCCCCCCCTGGTGAGTTCGGGGGTGGGTCGTCCCGGTCGAGGGGGGGGGGTCCAATTACCGGTTTGGGGTCCCGCAGGAGGGTTCACTGGGGGGGGAACAACCGCACATGCCTTGAGACCCACAAGTGGTCGGCGGATATTGCGGTAACAGGGTTCCAGGGCCGACCGAATCCTGAGTTATGTACATTTTGATAATTGGAACCATTGGAACCATCACCATATGGCCACCATACTGCGTGGACGTGCTCTGATGGCGGGGTGGCGTCCCAGTCTTGACGTTGTCTTACGTTGGCGTTCCACCATCTTGAGCTGTTGTGCGTTTTGGCCCATCCCCTTCTCCAAGCCACATGATTTAGGGAGGCGTCCCAATATTGAGGGAGCAGATCTCCGCGGAGGCGTGCCCACTTCCATGTTCATGCTGTTCTGCACGGTCGGCTGCTCAACTAAGACGCTGCCCAATGCTAGTTCGATTGCAAGTTAGCATCAGCAGATCATCGATCCGGCCACACCCCAACCAGCATTTTGACGTTCCCTCGCCCATCAAGGCGCGTCACCCATTTCTTCATGGCAAACCGTAACGCAACTGCCATTACAATATCGGCTCATCGGATGGGTCGACCAGACAGTTTTGGATCGCGTGCCGGTTGGGGTCTGACCCGGCCCGTGGGGTCCGACCCGTCCCGTTTGGGCTTCCCTCCGTCACGGAGTTGGGAGAGCAGGAGATTGAGGGAGGAAGAGGAGAGGGGGGGTGGGGGGGGGGGAAGAGGGGAGGGGGGGGGAGGAAGAGGGGAGGGGGGAGGGAGATTGTGGGAGGAAGAGGGGAGGGGGGGGTGGAGGATGGAGGGAGGGCGAGTGCAGATGGGGACTGGACTGGATAGGTCCGCCAAAGGAGGGGCTCGGTGGCCTCGTGCGTGGCTGCTTTGTCGTGGGGAGCGCCAGAGCCCAGGGTGGGCCGTCATGCGCGACCCCACGGCGACCGAGCTTGAGTCCGCCTCCGCACTCTGAGATGGGGAGGGAGGTGGGTGAGGCATGGAAGATCACGGCTCCCGGCTTCTTATCAAGCCAGCTCAGTTGGGGTCGCGTTCGAGGCTCGAGCCGATCGGCAGCCGCTCCGCCATCGCCGCGATGGTCGCCGCCGGACAGTGCCACACGGTCCTGTTGACCCGCGACGGCACGGCCGCGGCCTGCGGTTCCAATCGATCGGGCCAGTGCGACATTCCGCCGCTGGCCGAGGGCCAGACCTACACGCAGGTCGCCGCTGGAGGGTACCACACGGCTCTTCTGACGAGCATTGGAACGGTTACAGCCTGCGGCGCCAATGATTCTGGCCGTTGCGACATTCCGCCGCTTGCCGCAGGCCAGACCTACACTCAGGTCGACGCTGGAGCGTGCCACACAGTCCTTCTGACAAGCGACGGCACGGCCGTGGCCTGCGGCAGCAATGATTCTGGCTGGTGTGACATTCCGCCGCTAGTCGCAGGCCAGACCTACACGCAGGTCGCCGCTGGAGAGTGCCGCACTGTCTTGCTCACCAGCCACGGCACGGCCGTGGCCTGTGGCAAAAATTGTTCTGGCCAGTGCGACATTCCGCCATGTGTCGCAGGCCAGACTTACACGCAGGTCGCCGCCGGAGCAGACCACACGGTCCTGCTGACGAGCGAAGGCGGGGCCATAGCCTGTGGCGCCAATTGGTTCCGCCAATGCGACATTCCGCCACTTGCCGCAGGCCAGACCTACACGCAGGTCGCCGCTGGAGAGTGCCACACAGTCCTGCTGACGAGCGACGGCACGGCCGTGGCTGTTGGCGACAATGATTCTGGCCGTTGCGACATTCCGCCGCTTGCCGCAGGCAAGACCTACACGCAGGTGGCCGCCGGAGAGTGGCACACAGTCCTGCTGACGAGCGACGGCACGGCCGTGGCCTGCGGCAGCAACGATTCTGGCCAGTGCGACATTCCGACGCTGGCCGCAGGCCAGATTTACAGACCTTGTATTTTGCAAGCGTTGCTGCTGCAGGCGTTTCTCGACCGAGACTTGATACGTCTCGTGACTTCCGACGGGGAGGAGCGCTGCCGCATTGCGGCCGAACCTCCCGCTCGCTCGGCAGTCATCCATGACCAGCTGAAGAGCGATCGACTCGCTGGCAGGCTCGGCCCCGAGGTCGCAGGAGTGGACGCCGTCCTGGAGGGCCACCCGCCCAGCTCGGGCGAAGAGAACTATGCACATGCACCGATCCTGGCAAGGCCCATCCTTGACCCAGGATCGGTGCATATGCCTTCCTGGCCAAGGTAGGAGGGCGTATGCACCGATCCTGGGCTCAGGATGGGCCTGGCCAGAATCGGTGTATGTGCATACTTCTTTTTCCTCTACCAGCAGCGCTCCGGCCGAGGAGGCGGTGGCCGGTGCATGCGGGCTCGCGGGCCCTGCGGGGCGGGTGGTCGTGCGCGCGGTGGCGTCCGGCGGTCGGGCTGCGGAGTCGGGCGTGGAGGGCAGCGACCGCCGGGCTGTCATCGATGGCGAGCGGCCCGGCGAGAAGACGCCACGGGAGCTGCCCACCGCCACGGAGGCCCGCCCCGCGGAGCTCACCGTCCACCAGCACGAGCAGGTCTGGGGGCCGTCCTCGTCGGGGGCGGAAAAGAGGGGGGTGATGACTGGGGGGGGGGGGGAGATCATGGCGGGGGCCATGATATTTCTTCAGATTTCATGGCGCCTCTTCTTGTTTCATTGCGTCCCTGGCCCCCCCGCTGGGCCGCGCACATGCCGCCAGTCGTGATTTGCACCCCCCCCCCTCTTGGACACCCCCCTCTTGGCCGCTCCCGACCTCGTGCTCCCCGCCTCGGCATGAGCCGAAGGATGCCGAAACTGTCCGTCGTTTTCGGCCCATCGGGCCTTCTCGGGCCCCAGGACCCTCAACAAGGCGAGCCAGGATGAGATGCTGGTTCAGGAAAGCCGCTAGGTGTTCAAGACCCGTTTTTTTGTGTTCAGGAGTTGTTGGGTTCATGGCGAGTGTGTTTTCTTCATCTTTTTCGCCCTCTCCTCCCACTTTGTCATCTTTTGTGTTACCTGTTTCATTCGTAAGTACGTACTTCGTGCGTTTTGCTGGGCAGCATTATCCCCATTTATCTCCGACCCAACCTTCCGCCCACACGTTCATGTGCTTATCACGCCTCTCCCTTCCCCAATCTCGCCCAATCCCAGATCTCCACGGTCATCACCTGCCTCTCCTCCTTACCCCTCCTCGCCTCCTCCCCCTCTTGCCTCCCCCCCGCCCCCTCATTCACCACACAGCCGCCGCCCACGATCAACGAGGATGTGGTGTTTCTCAAAGGATGCCCCTGCATCCTTGCCTCTTCGGCCCATCCTTCTACGTGTGGGACCCGTCGTGCGCCACCGAGCACGGTGCACCTTGGAGGCCGGGACCCAAAAGCACAAGGCATTTTCACCCAGAATTCTTGCGGCGTGCGGCGACCGTGCCGGCGCCTCCTCCCGGATTGATTGCCTTCTCCCGAGAAGCACAGTGTGCGCAACATTGTGCAGATTCAGGCGCAGTCTTCTGTGCGCGTGCCCAGCTTGGTCCACACACCGCGCGGTGTTTGACGTACCAGTGTTATGTCGGGCGTGTCCCCTACAGGGGGATTTTCGACGACAAATAAAAAATACACCCAAAATACTCCAAAAAGGTCCAAAATAGTCAAAAAATAGTCCCTGGACTATTTTTTGACTATTTTTTAAATATTTTTGGTGTATCTTTCATTTTTCGTCGAAAACCCCCCTGTAGGGGCACAGGCCCGACATAATACCAGTGCCAGTACCCCGCCCTCCCGCTCCCCGACCTCGGCGGCGCCCGCCTCCTCCTCCTCCTCCTCGTCTTCCTTCTCCTCCTCCTCCTCGTCCTCCTCCTCCTTCTCCTCCTCCTCGTCTTCCTCCTCGTCGTCTTCTTCCTCCTCCTCCTCCTCCTCCTCCTCCTCCTTCCTCCTCTCTCCTCCTCCTCCTCCTCCTCCTCCTCTTCCTCCTCCTCCTCCTCCTCCTCCTCCTCCTCCTCCTCCTCCCTCCTCCTCCTGTCCCCCTCCCGCCCCTCGTCTCACCCCTTCCTGAGGGCCTCGGAAGTCGACACCAGCCAGCACCAAGATCCCGTGGCTCAAGCAACAGTGCTTCAGCATGGAAGGACTTGCATCTCTCGGTGCCGAGGCCAGCTTCCTGCCCCACTGCCCGCTCGACCCAGATCCGCTCAAAATCGGTTCCAGAACCCCCACCAGAGAACATAGTACGGGGATCATGGTTTGAGCATTTTTCCATCATTTTGGAGTATTGTTGGAGTATCTTTTATTTGTCGTCGAAGATCCCCAGGGTTCGTCCTGATTCTGCTTTGTTTCTCAGGGCGGATGCAGCCGTGGCCACGAGAAGCCTCCGGGAGGCCCAGGAGATCACGAGAGGGCCCAGCAGTGACGAGGCACGCCCATAGGGAGGGCCGCCGTTGCCTCTGCGTGCCCGCCAGCTTCCGTTGCCCCGCGACAGGGGCTGCGTGGTGACCACGCCTCGCCGCTCCCGGGCGAGCTCTGGCCCCGGTTGTCGGGGAGGGAACGAGAAAAAATCAGTAATACGCTGCCGTCGGGAGCCCGTCAGCGCCCCACGCCTTCGGCGTTGTCCGGCGGCCTAGCGCCGCCTCGACAGCAGCATGCTGCTGGGCTCCCCACGTCCACCGCCCTTGGCATCGATCGGACGTGTGCATTTTTTCTCGGCGAGAACCATCGAGGACCATCCTGGACCATCGAGCAAAAAAAAACACGCGCGATACCGAACAATGCACGGGAAATGGGCCGCCAGTATACGGCCAGATCCACCTTTTCGGAGTCGTGCCCTGGGATCTCGACGAGTCCCTGGAACACGACCCCGCGGCAGTGGATATGGTCATGTTCTGGCGGCGCACCACGGCTGCATGCCATCGATACTGTTCGGCGGCGAGGTCAGGGGGGAAGTGAGAGGGGGCAGGCCTTCTCAGAAGACGGCGGGACTTCTCAGAAGCCCTCCCGCCTTACGAGAAGCCGCCTCTGTCTTCGGAGAAGGCCTGGAAAGCTTCTCGGAAGGCGCAGGGGCTTCTAAGAAGCCGCGCCAGCTTCTGAGAAGGCCTGCCCCCTCTCACCCCCCCCCCTTGAGTTCCGACGCTGCTAAGCAAATACGACATCGCGAGAATTCCCAACCAGAACCCCAGACCCCATCTTCCTGCGACACTTCTGGAGCCAGATCAATCCGTGATGGTCCTTGGGCCCGAAGCTCTCGGCCACGCGCAGAGGGGGGGAAGGGGGAGAGGGGGAGGCTCAGAAACACCCCTGCTTCTTAGAAGGCGCGGGCCTTGCCTGCAGATGCAAGGCCGGCGCCTTCTGAGAAGCAGCTTCCCTCTGGGAAGCCTCCCCTCTTCTCCCCTAAGAAGCAGATTCCCTCTGAGAAGCAGCTTCCCTCTGAGAAGCCTCCCCTCTTTTCCCCCTGAGAAGCAGCTTCCCTCTAAGAAGCAGCTTCCCCCTAAGAAGCAGCTTCCCTCTAAAACGCAGCTGTGTGTGTGTGTGTTTTGTGTGTGTGTGTGGGTGTGTGGGCGTGTGGGTGCGGGTGTGGGTGTGGGTGTGTGGGTGTGTGGGTGTGTGGGTGTGTGGGTGTGTGGGTGTGTGGGTGTGTGGGTGTGTGGGTGTGGGTGTGGGTGTGGGTGTGGGTGTGTGTGTGTGTGTGTGTGTTCTGTGTGTGCTTTGTGTGTGTGTTTTGTGTGTGCTTTGTGTGTGTGTGTGTGTCTCTCTGTGTGTATTTGTGTGTGTATTTGTGTATGTGTGTGTGTGTGTGTTTGTGTGTGTGTGCGTGTGTGTGTGTGTGCGTGTGTGTGTGTGTGTGTGAGTGTGTGTGTATTTGTGTGTGTGTGTTTGTGTTGTGCTTTTTTGTGTGTGTGTTTTTTGTGTGTGTTTGTGTGTGCATTTGTTTCCCCGAGAAGACGACCGCGGCGCCCGGCCCTCGGGGGGCCGTGCGCGCCGCCGCGCCGCGCGCGCGCCCCCCCGCCCCCCCCAGGCTGGGCGAGGCCACCGCC